CATATCTCCTGTTGTTTTGAATTCTCAGCAACCTTTGTGATTGATTGTTTGCGCATGTGAGAATTGTCATCTTAGTCTTTTTAACAAATCTTTTTGCTTATAGAAAATATTATTTGTCTATACATCAGCAATCATGCGTGCGTAATACTGAATTTCGTGTTGGAAAAATCTGGCTGCAATTAGGTGGAATGAGGGGAGCGTCGGTCAATGATTCTATGCAGGTCGTAGTGAAACAAGTTTTTGTCATCTCATCAGCCTCTGTCATAGAACACATGTACAGGGTGCGTAAAAATGTTTTTCAGGGGGTAACTCTACGATAACAAATAGTAACCATAATGAATTTTGTACCAAATGAAAGCGCAGAAAAAATGGGATATTCTGATGCTAAATTGTGAGGGTTCTGAAAATTTTTTTATAACGAACATAATTTATTTTTGAAATTTTGCACAGGATCATCGTGATCATGTATCGATAATGAGTTTTCAGGTAAGAAATGTGCTTTTTGCCACAGAAATTTATATAAGTACCACTGTGCAAATTATTTAACTTTGCCCAGCACATAAGATGATACCATTCTTGTTCATTCTCTCATCTTTTTATCTTCCACTTCTGAATATGAATGATGGTATGCCAGTAAAATGAGAGAAAGTGTGTAGCAGTACTTGTTATTTATTCTCTGTTGAATATCTTTTCGTTCTGCAAGCACGTTTCGATTCTCTCATTAAATGGTATTTTTTTTTTCTATCTGTCTAAGAATAAAAATTGCACTACCCTCGACTACAGCACAAAGTTATTTCGTGGTATATAAGGTAGATAGACAAAAACAATCGATTCTTTTGGTGGCTGAAGTTAATTTAATTGGTTGGAAATGGCTGGTACCTACGATTCAGAACAGCAAAGAATCTTCGACAGAATCAAATGTATCGCTTTTCGTGAGGCTCGAGATCGGGATGCAACATTCATTAATCGCCAGTGGATTGCAGAAAAAATTCATCGTAATACGCGATTTGTCACAAAGTGGTGGGAGAGATCGTACGATGATTGCTTCGCTGAGTATTCCGAGTGTGGTCGAAAACTGAAATTATCAGATGCCAGGCAAAATCTCATTCTCAATGCGACTGATAAGCAAAAAAGAAGTTCTTATGCTTTGGTCAAAGAGATTGCAGCAAAATACAAAGAGTATGTTACACCAAGAACAATCGATAATTACCGCCATAGGGATGGATTGAAACCATTTCATGTTATTCCAAAATTCTTAAAAACAGAAACCCATATTTCGGACCGATTGTGATTTTGTGATTGGCTAAGAGACTGGACTCAAGAAGATTTTTTTCATCTTGCACCCTCGGATAAATTTTATGTTTGGACTATTCGCAGGCCAAATTATCAAAATGATAGAGTTTGGGCAAGAAGTATTGAGGATGATTAAAGGTATCGCGAGATGGTAAAAAATCAATTATGTATTAGTATTTTTATCATTTTCACAGCGAAAAAGCTGCATTGGATAATGAAAGAGAAGGGTGAATCTTGGACTGGTCAATATTTCCGTGACTTTATTTTGATGCAGCATGTGTTTCCATTTCTCAAAGACGAAGAAAATGTAATCGATCCTGATCAAGTGATATTTGCCCATGACAAAGCGCCATGCATGCGTGCAAATATGACTCAACATTTGCTTAAAGAGAATGATATCACTTTTTGGGGTAATGACACATGGCCTGGCAATTCACCTGATCTGAATGTCGCTGAACATGTTGGAACAATAATAAAAGATCAAGTTGAGCGAAAAATATTATCGGAAACTGCGGAGAATCGTTATAAGCAAGCGACATAAAAAAAGCATCTCATCGATGTTCTGACTAACATGAAATCAAATGTGGAACTATTTGAAACTCTTACGTTCGTATCCGTCCCGTCTTCAGGCAGTGAGGAATGCGAATGGAGATCACACTGATTTCACTAATCAGTTTTGAAAAATAAATGCTTTTGATGCTATCGATCGCTTCCAATCAGATTCACTTCGAACTGCTTCAAGCAATAAACTTCTTCATAGTGAAATAGCTCGAAATTCTAAAGATAAATTATGTTCGTTATAAAAAACTTTTTAGAACCCTTACAATTTAGCATCAGAATATCCCATTTTTTCTGCGATTTCATTTGGTATAAAATTCATTATGGTTATTGTGTGAAATCATAGAGTTACGGCTCCTGAAAGACTACTTTTGGCATCGTTTTTTCAGAGATTTGTTATGTTTGTTATAAAAAAATTTTCAGAACCCTCACAATTTAGCATCAGAATATCTCATTTTTTCCGCGCTTTCATTTGGTATAAAATTCATTATGGTTACTATTTGTTATCGTAGAGTTACACCCTGAAAAACATTTTTACGCACCCTGTATATAAGCGTTAAATGTAGCTTAATTTCCTATCGGAAACGATTTTCTCATCTGTTCACAGGACTGTCTTCTGTTTCTCTACTATTACACTTGCCATTACTACCATTCACCTACACAGAAAACGTATGTTCTTTATTGATTATCGTGTATCTCGTCGTTGCGCATTACGCCAATTCTCTGTCGTTTTTGTCTTTTCTTCGTATTACAATGTCGTCTTTTTAATTCTTATCGATCGTAACAAGTTCTCTTTGAATAGGATTGAAGGATAGGTGAACTTGTAACTGTGAAGAGAGAAACATTTGGAATACCTCGATGAGTTTCTCTCAATGGTTGTCATGTACGTTTCGAAGGTTGCAAGAGGCAATGAATATTGTTTTTCGTTCTTAATACGAGGAAAGTATTTTGCATAGTAGTTACATAAATGCTTGTCCCTGATGATAAAAGCTATTTCGTCTTGTTTTCGAGAAAAACAACATTTCTGATTTTTTTTAGAACTCATACTGAAAGAATGAATAGGATTGTTTAGTTAACAACAATTAATGCTCTAACGTTCAAAAACAAGATATTTCAAAGGTTTCAGATTGTTTTAGCTTAATCTGAAATCTATAAAATTTCGAAAAATCATGGTTTTTCAAAGGTAGACTGCTGTTGATTGTGATGTTGTTATCAAAGCGATAGAAATGAGGAGACTTTGATCATTTTCTGTTTTGAAAATCTAGTCGTATGTCATACTAGCGTGAAATTTCGTGTTCTTATGCCACAGTACTCGAACATTTGTTTTCTTCTTGATGAAGGAACATATTCAACTATCAGACATCATTTGATCTTATCTTTTGGCTATGAGTAGGACTAAATGAGACTAAGAAAATTCTAAAAGACTTCGTGTCCATGGCCTGTCTGGACGAAGATGCGATGACTTGAACTTTAAAAGAAGGCTTTTCTTACGTTTTTCTCAATTTTTCTTTCTTGTTTTGAGAAGTTGAGACTAGAACTTTTTGACATGGAATTGTCCTTTAACACTACGAGTTTGAATTGTTTTCACTTAAAAGACGTGACTAATCTCGACATAAACATATCTCTAGCGCATAATCGCATTTTTTACGTGAAAACAAGTCAAGCTCGTAGGGTTAAATAACAATTACATGTCTAAAAGTTCTGATCTCAGCTTCTCAAAATAAGAAAGAAAAATTGAGAAAAAACTAAGAAAAACTTTTTTTTAAAGCTCAAGTCATCCAATCTTTGTCCACAGCGCTTCATGGGCACGAAACATTTTAGAATTTTCTTACTCTCATTTAGCCTTATTTATAGCCAAAAGATGAGGTCAAACCTTATCTTAGAGGTGAATGTGTTGCCTCATGTAATTTCTATAGGAAATATTAACGTCTGAAACTAGCCAAGCTACTCAAGTTTATAGGATCCTACCAACAATTTGTTGTATCGAAAAGTCGACCTGAGCCGAATTTTTTTAACCCTTTTTAATTCTATCGAAGTTTCTCTTAACCAATATATGGGAAAAAAGTTCGCGACATTTTTCCTATTGATATAAATAGAAAAATTTCTGAGAACTTTTTTCCATATATTATATCATAAGATGTACCGTGAAAAGCTCTACAATTTATATAAGACAGCTTTTCTTACAATTGCACTTTTTATTTTCAAAATCTACAAAAGGTGAAAAGATGACATGAAAAAAACAAACTCATCATGTTTCAAAAAAAAGTCTTTTTCGCAGTGTCGAAATTTGGTTGCTTCGAGTTTGATCGCTTTTGAAAATAAAAAGTGCAACTGTAAGAAAAGCTGGCTTATGTAAATTGTAGCGCTTTTCACGCTGCATCTTGTGATGTATATTATTTTTTTTAATAAAACATACCAGGTATTAGATAAAAAAAACGTATTGGTGGTGTATTGAAAAAAGACTTTCTCGCAGCATTGAAATTTACTCGTTCAGAATTTTAATGATATTGGAAACAAAAGTGCAATTGTAAGAAAAGTTGTCTTATATAAATTGTAGAGCTTTTCACGCTGTATCTTATGATATAATATATGGAAAAAAATTCTCAGAAATTTTTCTATTTATATCAATAGGAAAAATGCCGCGAACTTTTGTCCCATACTATATGCAGGATTTCTAAGTACATCTCGATATTCTCAAGCAAGTAATTTTTAAGGTATTGCATGTAATTGCATATTGTTCAGTAATCTTATAAAGCCTGCTTAAGTAAGCACTTGTAATGTTTTGAAAGTAGAAATCAGCTAAAAGGCATCAGGTTAGGTGGACTGAACAGTGTTTTATCACTATATACGCACATAATATCTGTATTATGAACAGGCCAGGCTATTATTTGCACTCGCTAAGTTGAAATATATAAGTGTCTCGGACCTGAGAAATAGTTGGAATAACAAGTTTATAAGAGCTCTAAAGTGCTTAGATAGTTTGCGCAGATACGAGCGTTATGATTTGAAAAACTTAAGTCGCTTTAGGCACTCTGTTGCAGTTAAGTACCGTACAGCCGATTCTTTACATTTGTGCGCACGTTGGAAGCTTGGACATAACTTACAATGATACTATTTGTCATATGAGTCTAAGTCAGTTTAGTGCAGAGTCAGATGTGGTTAGACTCACCGCATGAATTAGTAGCTATATCGAATTTCTGAAGTCGGCCGTTATTGGTATCGGCAACGAATATGCTGCCTTGATGATCAAAAGCTAAGGTCCATGGTGAGGCTAGCTGATCAGCTGCTGAACCATATGCAGTTGAACATCCGATCACACATTGAAATCCTTCGGCACTTGATTTAATAATACGATTATTGCCACTATCCACAATAAACAGATAGTCAGCACCATCAACAGTAACTGCCGTTGGACACGATAGCGGGAAGCTTATTGCTGCTTCACTTCCTGCAACTGTCGTTCCTTCAGATTCTCCGAATAGAAAAAACTGAACTCGGTTGTTTCCACAATCCGCTACATACAAATTGAAGTTGTTATCGACAAAGATTCCATAAGGAGTATTAAGCATATTCGATGCTGATCCAGCAAAATTGGTACCAGCAATTATAGTTATCGTATTTGCATCATCGAGTGACTGTTTAGTAACTTGATGATAATCTCCCATAGAACAGTAGAGGTTGTTGCTGGTGTCAACAAAGAGGCCAAAACAGATTCCATTGATTTCTATCACGCTGACACTACTTGTTGAGTTCAATGTCCATTTTACAACTTGACTGTAAGTATTATTAAAAACGCTGTTACGATAAATATCTCCCGTAGTTGTAACAAAGAAACTGTAGGAGCAAGCACCAACGAGAGTTCTGTTAGGGATTACACTATCCTTCGGCCACACTTGTAGTTCGTTTAAAGCACACGAGTCTACATATAGGGTGTCGTTGATGTCAACAAAAACACTAAGGGAAGGAAAGCCAGTTGTACCAGTGTTTAAAAAGGTAGCTCCATTAGTATTCCACGTGGCATTTGGACAGAACTTCAGCTGATGAACAGATGAATCTATAGAAGATGAAATACATTTTCCACTGTTGAGTTGAAATTAGGACAAAGTGCAAGTGTTGAAAACTACGAATTACCATTGGCACCGTTACTTGTGATTAGTTTCGACAACGATCATGAAAAACGTTTCTAATCGCGCAATTGACTAGTGTTACTAGTACGCTAATGATATATGCTACTTGTTCCACCGATCTATTCAGCCTTACTTTCCTCCCTACGTCGAATTTCTAAAACTAAACATACGACGACCGTACACGATCTTATATAATCCTCATAGAAATTCGTATGTGTTCTGTACAAATGGAGACCGTCTACGAACTTCGTTCTTTAGCTATAAACATTTATTTACGGACATTTAAGATCATGCGGTTTCATTCAGATTTCAATAATCCGTATCTTTTGATGATCTCCAAATACGGAATGCAATTAGCCTTGGTACGATTGCATACGATACAATTGAGCTTGAGAAGTAAAAAATTGATTCTTCTTTGAAGTACTCGTGCTCTCAACAGTGACTTTCTCAAGGTTTGCGCAATTGTAGTTACAAGAGTTAGAACGTGAATGTTGGATAGTTCTGAACAATCACTTGATATATTTAGAAATTTTTACAAGAAGAGTAAAACTATTGTAGATTAGGCTTCGGTTTTCCAATGACGGAACTACCTTAACTTGTTCTGAGCTTGCGACTACACGTTTTGGCTATAAATAAGCTTCACTGGAACTCAAAACATTCTAAAGACTTTTGTGGTCACGACTTTTTTCTCTAGAAATATGGTTAAATGTAGGCATAAAAAATGGGCTTTTTACCAGTTTTTGTAAATTATCAGTTCTCCTTTTTCCGCTGCCTTGAGAAATAATATTTTTCACAGCTGATTCTAGGGTGATTTGTTTTCAGAATTAATTTGAATTTAATGTTTTTTTTGGAGCTAAGAACATCAAATATTAATTGTATACGGCATATGAAATTAAATTCCCATGAAGGGCAAGAAAAAAACAGAAAAATTAGTGTTCAATCTTTTCGTCCACATATGTGCTATATACATGTTCGTGAGAAACACTCGACATATGCAATAAGCTGGCATCACTGTTCATACTGAATGTAATAACTGTTAGCGCAACCCCTGTGAGACTAAAGTGTGAAACATGATGGAGCTGCTGACACTGTAAAAGTGAGAACTTACGCGTCTGTCACGGTCCCTAGCGAAGAGGAAGCGTTGCTAAGTGTGTGTGTGACGAAAGCGACGTCGCTAAGATGTCTTTCATGGTCTGTGAGCCCGTTATGCCTGAATGGTTAAGTTGTTCGGCACGTACTACCACCGACTGTGTTCGAACCTCGGCATCATCAGACATAGAATGGCCTTGGACAAGTCAAAAAAGGCTTTTTGTCTCGGATCGCCTGTACGATAGCATACTGACTACGTTGTGACATACATCGGCTCTTGTAGCTAGTATGTGGCTAGTCAGAGTGTACGGGAAGCTGAAGTGATTAAGCGGAAGAACTCTCAACCAGACCAGCCTTCTGTACAGAGCTACAGCTAATATAGTTGTAAGAAAAATATCGGGCCTTCGAAACTGTCTCTGGACGGCACTCTATACCGCAAGGTAGTCGAAAGGTAGGGTACTCTTCTTCTTCTTCTTCACGGTCTGTGATATCTGTCACGTCTGTGGGGAGGAAGAAGGTGAGGGAGTCCAAATTTCTATCCTATGTACTTCAACATTCCTTTTAGATCGTGTTTCACAAAAGATTATCAGCGCAACTGTTATCAAAACTATATTATCTTAACGAAGTTTAAGGAGCGATGTTTATCGACCTACGAAAGATAAACAAGTTCATGAAGTCATCGAATATCTCAATATTTCTTCGCAACTATTTCAACTTTTCTATCAGCTTTACCCATGTAAAAAAAATCAAATTAAAAATCGATTAAAATGAGACGATTTTAATCTGATTTTAACCAGATTTTTCAACCTTAAAAGACAGATTTTATTTGACTTAATCTTTTTTTTATCGATCAAAATCGATTATTGAAATAAATCGATTATAATTGATTATTACAGTTTTTTAATAGATTTTAATCGATTAAGAAAGATTAAGTCAAATAAAATTTATCTTTTAAGGCTGAAAAATCTGATTAGAATCAGATTAAAATCGTCTCATTTTAATCGATTTTTAACCTGATTTTTAATAATTTGTTTTACATGGGTATCATCCGAAATTTACATTGAATCCACACTTGATCAGACAGATTAATACGACCATTTATCAAAGGCAAATCGAAAACAATGCAATATATTTGAAATATGGATATATCAATGTCTATAATCTAACTTCTGAAATGTATTTAACATACTCGAAGTTTTAGACCTACACAGAACGATATTTTTAAAACAGAGAGCGAATCGAACCGAGTTTTTCTGAATCGAGTTCGGTTCAATTCTGTTCGTTTTCACTCTGTTTTAAAACATGATACATAGCCTAGTTTTGAACATGCATTTGATCCTCTTTTTGGAGAGAAGAGTAATGGGCACGAACGCTTTCAAGATTTTCTTAGTTTCAATAAAACTTACTTATAGCCACAAGATGAGATCAAAAGCTCGAGGCCAGTGAGGTGCTTCTCACGTAAGTTCATCTATTCCATTTCTTCTCAATAAGACAGTTATTCAGATAGACAAAGATATATCTTGTTTGTGTTCAAAGAAGAGATGGAAAGAGAAAGGTTTGACTACGTCTACACAGAATTGTACGTCGTTGCTTGACGTTGCGCTCATATGCAACTGAATGCAAATAACTGCAAGGGTGTCTTTTGCATCATGTGTGAGCAATGTGCGTCGCACTAGTAGAAATAAAGGGACACTAACACGCACATTTTGTACAACATTTATCTACACTGTAGTTTATAAAACAATATTCGGAGACTGCTACATAAGCTAACAGAGTTCCGCATGCGATGGAATGGAATGAAAAATAGTCTCATAAGACAGCTCGTATAGTAAAGAGGTTTTTTAAGTCTTGAGCCGACTCCCATGACGTTCTTCTTCAACCATATCACTGTGCCAATATTTGTTTCTGTTTAGGACCGTCTATCGACAGTCAAGCTTTTATACTAACCGTACAAATCCTACTGTTTCCGTCAAGGACGGGATCGTGAATTTAGGATCTGAGAATCTTGACAGGCGGCATCGAATACAATAGTGAATTCATCGACACAACTAAAGTCCATTCGAATTTACCGAACTGTGGTGGAATCCTGGATCGGCTTTTTCTCTTAGAAAACTTCAATTTCATGCCTCTAAATATGAAGAAATAATAAGACTTCTTCTCTAGTGTATTTTTCATCCATGAATTCTCAGCTTCCAATAGTTTCGTTAGCTTAATTATACAGCCAAAGATCATTGAAGATTCCGTCATAGTGTCATGTAGTGCAATCGATTTCTTCATGTCTTTTTGCACTCGAGTAAGATCTATAGCACTTAAAATCTAGCAGAATCCATTAGAATTTACTATTTACCAATTAGTTTTTTCTACTCCAAAATTTGTGAAAAAATCGCGCTAAAAATTGATTTCAAGTAAAGATTTTTTATGATCATGTCTTTTTATCCATATAACAGTTATGGTGGAAGACTATTAACAAATATACACTAGGGTGAAGGAGATAGAACTTCACACAAATAGTTCCAGTTTTATTATTTAAACTTCTGTAAAAGGCTTAAAATTGTTCATGTAAAATAGTACAGGAAAGCCACGAATGAGCCTATTTGTGTTGAAGAAAAAGGTCAAGAATAGGGACATAATAAACTGCGTTACTCACTATTCCTTCAAAGTCGCTCTACTTCGTATTTTAACGAAGCAGAACTTGCCGCTTTTTTCATAAAGACAAAAGAAGAAAATCCTATGTGACGGAAAATTCGTTCCATCACATGGAATATTTTAAAAGCATTCATCAGAGCTAGGTAAGAGTCCGAATCATGACTCTGACTCGAGTAGTCTCTAGTTACATTTTTTTAAGGAATCTAACTTGGCTTGGGCTTGAAAATTGGATAACGTTGACTTAAGTCGCTTATTAAAAAAAATTCATTTACTATTACAAAAAGAACGATTTATAAGATTAAATTTCACTTGTTCATATCCTTCGTCATAATTGAATAAACTGGATGAGAACGATTTTATGATGAGCTTCTTTTTACCTATGCATGCATATACTCACAAATGATAGTGTACGCGTATTGTTGAGTACATCAGCTGTGCCTCATTCTGTGTCGTTCGGACTCGTATAACTTGACTCGATTTAATCTGCCTCGAAATCGCTATGAAATGACTGGGACTTTACTCGGTTCGACAAAGACTGACTCACTCATCTCATCCGGAAAATTATAAGCTAACCATATAAAAATATAGTTAGAGAAGTGTTGTTTCGATAAAACATACTCGTTGCAACACGAGGAGAAGTTGTCGCAGTGGTAGTGGTTCTAGTTGACATGGTGCTGGTCATCGAAGTAGCAGCCATTGTTGTATTGATAGTGGCTCTAGTTGAGGTAGTGGTTGTTATTGGGGTAGTAATTCTTGTTGTACTGCTGGTACTACCACTGGTTGTTGTCATTGCCGATGTTCTGATGGGCACTTAATAATGACATAATAAGATCGTTTGAGATTTAGTCTGCAGAAAGTTAGGCATAAGATATTTCCCTTCATCAATACATATTAACAATAAGGAGAACTGGTTTTATTATGTGCTTTGAGTTTTCTTACGGAACAGTACAAACCAGCATTTATCGATATACTAATGAGCTGACATTTTTCTGAAGACAACAGAATCCAATTGTTCTTAAATAAAAACTCTTCTTTAGACTTCAACGAAAGCACAATATCGAGACAAAATTGAATTCTTTTCCAATTTTCTCCAAAAGAATTGCTCAGCTGAAAACTACGACCGCAGTCGGTCCTGTTGCTCCCATCTTCTCAGCCTGCTACTCTTATGATCCTATTCTTCTCTATCCAATCCCAGTTAAAATGTGACGTGAGCAGTATGGCGTGCCCTGAGCTCTGACCGAGACTGTGGAAATTTATTTTGCATCCATGCATGCACTGCTCTTCATCACACCTGCTCTCCAATGAGACCGTGTTCAAAAATCGCATCCATCTTTGAAATATTTGTTGAGCATTTAGTAATTGAAGGTGTGGGAAAGGAAATTTTTTTCCTTTCTGTATCGTTTACTCAGTCGGTGTTAGTGATAACAACAAACAAATATACTTGCCTTGTCAAAAAAGAAAAAGCTTCAAATGCAAGCACTCAATTGATACCTTTTATAATCGCCAGCTGTCAGTCGTGTAACAGTGTGGTAAAATAGAGGTATTTATAAATATAGATACAATTAGTGATACTGGAAAAATTCTAAGAAAGGGACTCGATCTTACTGTCAGAACGCTCAAGTGTTGCACGGTAACGCTGATGAGGGAACGTTTCCAACTGATCCATCGCTTTTTTGCTTCATATTTTGCCCATAAGTAGGGTACATGTAGACTAGAAAAAAGCCTAAGAGGTTATGGATCTCTGCTGCGATTTGGCTGAGATATTTCAGTTTTACTCGAAGCGCTATGACAAAATGTCGCCGCTCATTTTTGGGTTCAAAACAAAGTGCTAGTAAACCTATAATATTAGAGAGTGTGTGCACATGGGATGTGGATACTCCGTGCGCCCTCACTCACATTCTCGCTCTCACCCCTTGCCCTCACCCTCACCGCGACGATCTATCCGGTCACCTTACTGGAATTTCTCTGCAAGACTTTGATTTTCCAGCAAAATCGTATTTTCGAATTTTGATCTAAAACTTTGCTCACATAAAGCACTCAACTAGACTAGCATGTGGAAAAAATTTCAGAATATTTGAACATAGTACCACTGAGATATGAACTTTCCAAAATATAGACGCTTTTCCATAGATATTGTATAAAACATGGATACTTTGGAAAATTCATAAGTCGATGGTACTATGTTCAAATATTCTGAAATTTTTTCCACAAGCTAGTCTAGTTGAGTGCTTTATGTGGGCAAAGTTTTAGGCCAAAATTCGAAGATACGATTAGGGGTGCAACGGTGATGATAACAGTATCTACGATTACCGGTCCACTATGGTAACCGTAGGTAGGGTGAGAAGACGGTGAAGACCGAAAAGACTACGATACACCTACGGTGAAGGCTGACATATTTGTAGTGCCGAGTCATCTTAATGAGAAGTACTGAATAACAGAAAAAATTAGTCGTCACCGTAGGTTCTCATCAAGTTATCGGCTTCACTGGTCTCAGCAATCATATGATATGGTGTTTAAGACCGATAAAGCCGGTAACCTGATGGGAACCTACGGTGAAGACTAGTTTTTCCTGTTATTCAGGTACCTCTCACTAAGATGACTCAGCACTATAAATATGTCAGCCTTCACCGTAGGTGTATCATAGTCTTTTCGGTCTTCACCGTTTTCTCATCCTACCTACGGTTATCGTAGTAGACCGATAAGCGTGGTACGAAGCATCCGTCAAGTTTCGTCACCGTTGCATTTCTAGATACGATTTTGCTGGAAAATCAAGATTCTACAGGGAAATTCGAGTAAAACTAAAATATCTCAGCCAAATCGCAGCATAGATCCGTAATCTGTCAGGTTTTTTCAAGTCTCCATGTGCCCTACTTATGGGCAAAATATGGAGCCAAAAGCGATGGATCAGTTGGAAATGTTCCCGTGTGAGACCTCGACTTTTTTTCGCCTACGCCACTAATTCACACATATTCTGGTAGGAAATTCATCGTGGCAAACTCATTTTACATTGCTCATAGAAATGTGCACTCGACTTGAGCATGAAGTCTGGTTGTTTTTATGGGATGGTCGACATTATTCCAACTGAAGATGAATAATCAACGTTTGGACCTATCTTCTATTATAAACAAATATGCATGATCTCTCATTACAGTTACTTGGATCACAGAGCCTCATGTTAAAAGTATTTTACCTGTTGAATCGGTTGTTATCTCATTTTGTGATGGGCATAAAGTAGTTAAAATCAATGGCAAACATATTCTTCGCGATGCACAACATGAATTAATAACACACACAGCTGCATTGAACATACATTCTCCAGTGTCGTTATCACATGGTTCAAGAATAGAGCATAAGCTGCCCGGTGAACAGTAACTGATATTGTTGATCGTACGAAAATCAAAGCAAGGTGCTGGTGATGTACGACAACTATGGGTGTTGTTATTGCTCGAACCTATAGCACACAATGGTACAGAGCAATTCAATAAATGGTTCTGAGCAGAATGAGATGTATTCAATAACTGCAATCTGATAGTAGTATCACCTTCGGAACAGGAATAATTGGCAGCGTTGTTGATACTTTGACCTAGAAATAGTTTATGTATATTTATAAGACCAGACACACAAAAAAACCCAGATATACCATTTATCAGTAGTGAAAAAGTGCCTATACTGAGCACAATTGCTAGCCACATATTCTCACTTTAATAAAAACTATGAACAGGCATCAGTAATGTAAAAGCTTTTTTCTGTTTGTTAAAAATGATTGTGTAGTAAAACTATAGTGGTAAAAAAAAAAGGTAACTTTCAGACGGCCTTCACGGCTTCATTTATTTTTCTTCATTTGCAATTTTAAGGAATCAAAGTAAACATTCACTTACTAACACATGCGAAAGCTTTAATGGTTCTGTCCTGTTGTTTACCCTGCACATTAACCTATGCGCAGAATATGTTTCTTTATGCTCCATAAATCAGTTTGCTTATGTACACTAGAATAAAATGTATTGTATTTATTTGGGAACAAAATATTTGATCAGTAAAATAGATTAAATGATCGGTATAAGGATTTAATGATCAGTACTAAAATTACCAGTAAATAATGATAAAATGATCAGTTTATTAGATATAAGTAACAGTAACAAATACAATTTATTTCAGTAAAAAATACAAATTTGATCAGTATAAAATAGAGATTTTATCAGTAGAAAAATAAGTTTTAACAGTATTAAGTAACATAGTAAGCGAAAAATAAATTTGAATAAATAAAGAAAAATCCGAAAGAACATTTAATAGAAATCCAAAGAACAAGTGAGAGAAAAAGAAAAAGAATATAAACATGAAATTATTGTACCAGTAAAGCGGGTTTAGCCTTAGCTGGTCTAACGTAGGATATCCTAGGTCAGGATTCGAGTATTTCATCTCGCGATTCGCGATACGCCCAATTCCAACTGAGATCACACTGGTTCCAAGTAGAACTCGATGAGCTCTATCCAACGCACTAGTTTTTTCCGAAAACAAACAATCTTTACTGGTCAAAACCCGTTTTTGTCGCAAAAAAAACACGAAAAAGCAACACAACGACACCAAAACCACTCGCGATTCTCTCAGAGACCGATTCCAACAAAACCAACACTAATTCCAAATAGATCTCGATGAGCTCTATCGAATGGATACCTTTTGAGCTTAAATCGATTCACCTATCGCTGAGAAATCAGCCAATAGGCCCCAGAACAGGGCTTTCCCTGGAAAACCTGTCACGATTCTACCAGTGACCGATTCCAACAAAACTAACTCCGGTTCCAAGTAGATCTCGATGAGCTCTATCGATTGGACACCTTTTGAGCTTAAATCGATGCACCGATCGCTGAGAAATCAGCCAATAGGCCACAGAACAGAGCTTTTCTTCCGGAAATTGTATCACGATTCGACCAGACATCGATTCCAACAAAACTAACGCTGGTTCCAAGTAGATCTCGATGAGCTCTATCGAGTGGATACCTTTTGAGCTTAAATCGATGCACCTATCGCTGAGAACGGAGAAAAGCCCTGTTCTGAGGCCTATTGGCTGATTTCTCAGCGATGGGTGCATCGATTTAAGCTTAAAAGATATCCATTCGATAGAGCTCATCGAGATCTACTTGCAACCAGTGTTGGATTTGTTGCAATCGGTCACTAGGCAAATCGCGAAAGGGTTTCCCGAAAAAAGCGTTGTTTCCGTCCTTGTGGGCCGATTTCTCAGTGATGGATGCATCGATTTGAGCTCAAAAGGTGTCCATTGGATAGAGCGCATCGAGATCTACTTGGAATCAGTGTTGGTCTTGTTGGAATTGGTCTCTGAGCGAATCGTGAGTGATTTTGGTGTCGTTGTGTTGCTTTTTCTTGTTTTTTTTTGCGACAAAAACGGGTTTTGACCAGTAAAGATTGTGTTTTCGAAAAAAAACTAGTGCGTTGGATAGAGCTCATCGAGTTCTACTTGGAACCAGTGTGATCTTAGTTGGAATTGGGCGTGTCGCGAATCGCGAGATGAAATACTCGAATCCTGACCTAGGATAGCCTACGTGCTGGTCTACCTCTTTTTCTTCTCTCACGGATGGGAACTGTTTTTGCTGATGGTAGTGGTTTGCAATATTTTAAACGAATAGCCATACCAACGACGTGCTTGCATATGTAATTCTTAAAAAACCCTGGACAGTTGCATTTTGATTTTTCCCAATCTGATCCATTATCCATTTCCATACACCAAATATCAAATGATTTTGTGAATTGATAAAATGTTGACCATGTTTGATTTTGATATTTATTTAAGTGGCTTGAGATATTGATTGTAAATCACGAGCGGGCATATAATATGTTTTTGAACAATCATTGGGAATACAAATTATATCTGTTGTCGATTTAGCCCATTGATAAGATAAAGTCCATAATTCCAAAGATATTGTTGGTTCAGTAGCAAATATTTTTTCATTGATTGATGTGATATCTCGTTCAATGGACCAATTATTGACAATATTTGAAGCTATTGTCAAAAATCTTGATAAAACATGACGTTCTCTGAATGTTCCATCATCTTTAATTGTTCTGTTGGTTGCTTCTAAAGCATTGTTTGTGCTTGGTGTATAAACTTGTATACCTTCATGCCAACCATCATTTGTTTTGAGCCATTCATTGTGAAAATAATTCATAAAATCTAGTATTGATTGATTTTTTTGTTTGTTGTTCATATTCCATTTCTTTATAAATAATGTTGATGCTAATTTGAATACTTCTGTAGAATTAGATAGTTGGAGCATTTCGATATCTTCTATGATTTCTTTTGCAATATGTTTGTCATCTATTTGACATACACGACTGTCAACTTTTCTTTTCATGTGTGCCCAACACATTATTTGATTATAGGAAGAACCAAATATATTTGTAAAACCATTTTTAATTGCATCAGCAGCATCAGATATCAATGCTGTTGGTTTTAGTAAATCTTTATTTATTTTTTGCATACCAACTTGAATACTATTGAAGATAAATTCAAAATCTTTACTTTTTTCATTTGAACATACTGCTAAACCAAATGGATGAAATGCTTTGTTAAAATCAGTAGTACCGACAATTAAGACAGGAAAACCTTGCCAAACTAATTTGTACGTAGCATCATCATGTAAATGTGACGATATTGATGCGATATTGAGCAAACGAACAGATGATATAAATATACGGAATTTATTTTCATTATCTTCTTCAATATCTTCATCATCTTCATATTCTTCATTATCATATAATATTTTGTATGATACAACGAAAGCTTTATTTTCATCAATTGGAACTTCTACATTATCATCACACCATTGTTCAAATTCACCTAAACTTATTTTATGTAAACCATATTTCTTTTTTTTGTATTGGACAAGGTAATTTTTAATCTGTATTAATGTTGGCATTTTCATTTTTCTTGTTTGAAGTGCTCGAATAATTTGCTTTGGCTTCATGATACCATCATTATATAATTCTTCAATGCACTTTTTAACATTCGCATCAATACCACGAACTTTTTCATTATGATGCTCATGTTCAGCTTCAGTTTTATAAAGAGTTACTTGATCACTGTCTGCATGATATAACAGATGAATACTTGCACTACATTGAGGTCCACGAAGTTTAGCTTTGTTGCATCTGTAATAAACTCTTCGTCCATCTTCTATATAATTGGTATACTGCTTTGATCATATATTTTCAACTGATGCCTCTGCTTCCTCAGCATTATCAAATATAGCTTCTTTAACCCAATGCTTAGATCTTCTCTTCTTCTTGACATTTTTATTTCGATTTAAATTATTATTTTCTTCGACAACTTCATCTGATACATCACTTTCATATTGTGCAACCTGTATCACTTCCATCTTTTTTACTTGTTTACACAACTGATGATGAGAGATAGGATAGAAACAAAGAGTACGCATATATCGTCATATATGTCGTACTTGTTATCTGTACGACATAGTCGAAGAACAAAAAAAAAAAGGTAAAAAATGAATCATACCATAGCACATTTAAATTTCTATACTCATCTTTTTATTTAATTTACTGTTAAATAATTATATTTACTGATTCTCAAATTTATTTACAAACCTTATTAATTAATAACTGATCATTGAAATATTTTACTGATCAATCATTCTATTTACTGATTTTATAATATTCTAATGTACTGATCACTTAAATCATAGCCTATTTATTTGCTTTGCTCGATAGTGTTGCATGTTCCACTGTGAAAATCTGTCGCAGTCAATATGTGACGTATTATAGATGTATGGTAGTCTGTCTGGGTGTGGGTGTGGGTGTCAGTGCAGGCACACAAATACCTTTACACTCACACCCTTTTTTCGAGTTTTCTACTTCGAGATTTCTTTTTTCAGGGTTTTCACACAATATCGATGAGATTTTTGATCACATTTTCCACATATCCTCGTGAGTACTCCAAAAGTCGCATCAGGCTAACTTTTCACCAGCTTGTCCAAATATGCTAAAAATTTGGATTTAGAGGTTTTAGATGCTGCGGAACAAGATGAAAACATAAAATCAAAAATTTAAATTTTGACGAGTGCTTTGGTATCTGGCATAGATCTCGATGTTCTCATAGAGTCTCCCTTAACTTTCTGCTTGGATTTGTTATATAGGAAAGAGCATTTTTGACTTGGAGTTCATGTGTCTGCTGAAAATCATCATCTTTGCCAGTGATCAGAAAGTTGCCCAACTATCGTTAAAAGGATTTAAGATGATTTAACTGAGTTTAAATAATTTATACGATTTTATTTTGAAAGTCAGTTGATTTAAATCAGTTGTTTTCCTCTTGTATCTGACCATTATTACTACTACTAAGTTTTTGATCGAAAACAAAATAAAAAAGATATTGAATCAAAGCTGAGAAATTGTATTTGACCAGTGAAGTAATAGATGAAAGCTAAAATGTAGAATAGAATTATTTAAGATTGAAGATAAGTTATTTTTTCATAAAAAGAAAATATTGATATAGGTTTTAGTCGCAGTGATAGATGTCGCTAGTTACTAATCTCTAGAGAATTCCATTCCAGCAATAAAGATTTATTGTATCCAAAACGTATAGTTTTCACTACATCTATTCCCAATGGACATAATTGCACCATTTCTAACTGATTATTCAAAAAAACAGATAGTTAATGTACTTGTGTGTATTAAAAGTCTGAGATTATTTCAAATAGTATAAATGTTTCGTCTCTTCTTTTTATTATGATATCAATAGAAAATAAAAGCAACTTACGACTTATTGTTTTCATTGTTCACTTATCTGTACCATTATGAATACAAATCAATTAATCTAGTTAGAAAAAAATTATACATGTTAAAGAAAAGTTTTTAAATCCCACATGATGATAATACCGTGAGTACTGATAATATTTAATGAAATAAAAATCAGTCGATGACAATAAACAAAATAATACCATCTCGCATATATATTAAAAGTTTCCATCGATGTTTTTGAAATGTACAATCGCATTATAAAAATTAAAATATGCCTTGTAAATATCCGAGCACTTAAGTAAATGATATAAGTCGAAGTATTACAAACCATAGGTTTCTGTTGTGGCTGAAAATCTGTCGCTGCCACGATAGACGACTAGAATCTCATCTTTTGATCTCAAATAAAACTCTACAAATACACAATGAGAACAAATTTTTTATGTAATTCTGCAATTCTTATTGTTAGATTTTGAACGAGTCAGTTTCCTAAAACCATTCTATTCTATATGAAATATATTTGTATGGTCTTTTGCTTCAATACAGATTGAGTTGAGTATCTAATGAAAATCTTGAGTGATGTGTTTAGACTTATTTAGGATAGAAAATTTGTCGAACAAGACCATTTCTTTTCACTAACAAAAATTGAATTGTAAACGTGTTTATAAACATTCGTGTTCGAGATGTGTGCATTTCTCCTTTTAGTTTATTTTATAAAAAACAAGTGTATGTATACAAATATGAAAACAAAGATAAAAATATCAGACGAACAAAGAAGTATGATCAAAGAAAAGAAAGAAAAATAGAAAAGATCGAGATGTATATCATAATAATGCACTGTAGCAATGTCATTATTTGAAAGAAAAAAACAGAACAAAGTAGTTAACTTTGAACATCAATATTGTTTACGCGGATGAGGCCTTTCAACAAATCACTTGTAGCATACTATATATCTGTATGCCCCTTCGTGATTGTTGCTGGTCTTTTAGAGTTTAGAATCCTGCAAGCCACCCACCCACCCACCCTATGCAGGATTCTTAACGGTAATAGACTAGCAACAAATCACTCGTGACATATTTTATATTTGTACGCCCCTTAGTGATTGTTGCTGGTCTGTTAAAGTTAAGAATCCTGCAACCCACCCACCCTATGCAGGAGTCTAATTAGAACATACGTGTTCTAATAATTGTTTAAGTGGAATACATTCACGACGAATTGCGTTTACAATCGCGGTGAATGTAACAATATTTATTCGAAGAATTTCGATTACCATTATTTGCATCTATATATAACAACATATCCCTAAAATGATAAAAATTTCATCATTATCATCCTTCTCAATCTTTTATATTTACATTATAGTTGGATTTCGTCCATTCATATCTCTTAATGTGACCATATGGTAGTTTACAGGTATTTCTTCGCCGTTAACCGTTTTATACTTTTGTTGAATTTTGCAATTATTACGACATGGAAGAGTATAAATACTACGCCATTCAACATCCTATAAACAATTTAACAATTTCATGATTTGTGATTTCTAACACTATCATGATAAAAATGTTTAAAAATATTAACTTACGCAAACTTCTTTTCGATCGGGTCGAAATGATTCAAATCGAGTGGATGTTGTAGTCATAATATAATAATGTGTTCGTCTTCGACGTTGTTGTCTCGGACCAATTTGTGGATATTTCTTGATAATTACACCATCATTTTCATGTATGTGAAGAGCAGAACTTATGTTATTGATACCAGTCTCCTCTTGAAACTAACAAGAATCAATAGATAAGAATTAAATATGAACAAAATGATGTGACCTTACTTCACGAAAACCTCCCATTCTGATCGTTTCACCAAGATTAGGCTTTCCTTTAGGAAATCCGTAATTGAAACGGCCATTTTCAATAAATGAAATCAGCAAAACCTGAAAAATATATCTATGGATTTTTCATATGTTCATTGTTTCACAAAAGAAACATACTTTTTCTGCACCCACTTCATTAATTGAAATTGCGATGACACCAACTCTTGGTCCCCAATGTCTTTCATTAGCCCATTCTTTCCAAATATAATTGGCACATCGTATACGTATTTCTGCAATAGCTGGTGTACAGAGTTTATACTTAGATGATTGCTCATCATACTCTAAAAGCATTTTAATACCTTAAACTTCTTTTTTGGAAGAAAATTGATCATTACCTGAATCATTATTGTCAACGAATTTATCTTCAGAGATTGGACGATAATCCTGCACTCGGTATATGATATGTTGCATTTTCAAAATCTCTTAATAAAAAGAAATATGATGAATTTCACTGTGTTCGAACAAATTAACCTACCTTGTACAGCAAACTGTTTCCGAGTGTCTCTTGTAGCCTGTATGCGAAGTTTTCCTGTATCGATAGCATCATAGAAACGATCATCCATTGTCGATAGTTCATGAAGCATTCGTTCGTATGTGTCTTGTATGCTTATATGTGTTACAGATCGAATAAATCTTTGTAAATCTTCCAAATAAAACCAATGCTCTATACATCTATATTGTTGCAAAAAAAAAAGATAAAAATTAGAAATAATGCAAAAAAAAACTGTTGATTAGAATTCAAATTTTACCTTTTAATGTTATTTTCACATTGCCGCGATAGTGAGTAATCTTTTTTTCGATTGAAAATCATTTTAGTTTATTTTTGTTTTATGAGAAGAAGAGAGTTGCTATTGTGCTTTGATTAAATCAAATGAAATGAACAATCGACACAACAGAATATATGCACCGTTGAAATTGTGAAAGCGTGTCAGATAAGAAATAATATGTTGGATTATTCCACCTGCGATTGTTTGTATTCGTCATTGCGAATTCTTTTAGGAAGAAACCAACCACTTTAGATGTCACGAATATTGTATAATTTCTGCGCCACTAAAGGAATGAAAAAGTAACATCAATAACATCAACCAATCAGACCTGTGTAATTATTTTGTCTTTACCAACAGTTAATTATGAATCCCCAAAAATTATTTTCACTATAAGATCTTCGGAAAATAAGAACTATGGTACAACTGAAATATGAAGCATCATGTGAGAGGATTGTCATACTGATTTTTAATGGTTACATAGTTTGTAAGCAATAATATTGAATCGTTTTTATGCATTTTTTTCCGTCTATTGTTGAAAAAAGACTGTTGGAGGTAATAAACCGTACAGAACGAGACAAATTTTAAATCAATAATCTTCACACACCGAATAGCAGTTTCAAAGAATACAACACTGTACTTTCATTTATTTTCTTTTTTCTATTGTTGAAATAATATTAGATATGCGACTGCTTTTATATTTTAGCAAGTGATTTTGATCTTGAGAATATTCTTTTGGCAATAATAACCAATGATAGACTGAACTTCGTTGATAAATATATCTGCTGAGGGTACTCGGAAATTGTCATTCCACACGAAAAACACATTCTGTAATGGATGAATCGCAAATGAGAAATCCGAAGATTTTCATCCGAATTTAGTCAACTATATATTCAGTATCAGGAATGTGTTTTTCATGTGGAATGACGACTTCCAAGCACCCTCAGCAGAGAGATATGTGCTGATGTATGTTATGAAGCTTTTCGTGGCACCCTCACCCTCAGGGAAGATGTGTATTTATGCGAAATGTCGAAAATTCGAGTAACATATATCAATTCACACGATCTTTTTCTCCAAGTTGAAATAATTTTTCGAAACGTGTTCATGATTATTAGAATTTACTCTGAAACGATTTTACTCTTCGATAAGAGATTTTGCAAAGATCGAATATTAATCGCAAAGACTTTCGAGTTTTCGATCAAATTTTTCGATTATTTGATTTTTTTCAATCTAAATTTCACAAAGACATCGTCTTTTTTCAATAAAAAATTCGTCAAAGCATAAGGTTTTATACTCTCAAGACGAGCAATGACCACTAAATCTTCAAAAAAAAAAATGAGAAATTCAAAAATTTTCATCCAAATTCTATCAAGTTCATCTAGCCAGTCAACCTATTAATACGTTAATTCAATCGAATTTGATTCATGAAACGAGTATTTATAAAAACAGTCATCACTGGTCTTAATTCTAGTGAGTAGAAATGTATTGGTAATAGGTAATCTCATGTTTCATATTCGACGAGCAGCAATAAATATTAATGATGATTTCTATGAAAATCATACTCTTTCTTGGAACGTTATTTTTAAAAGTGATCATGGATCAATAAATACGTGCGATTGACAATCAGTTTTGAGTGATGCAATTCAATCTAGTTTTCCTTCACTTTCGTAACATGAAAGTTACATTCGTCATCATATTCTATTTAGTAATTCAAATTCTTTTTATGCAATTGATCATGATAATGGGAGTTATTTTTTACTAAGATAATTACAATGCTCAAGTCCATGGAGGGAAGAAAAACGATTTGGGTTACTCATAAACAGATTATTATGAAATTAATGTTTATCCCGAGAGAAAATCTAGCCTAGGAACTAGAGTTTATATCGCTGATCAGACACCTTCGCGAGGTTCCAATGGCTGGAATGAAATTCGGATTAAAAACACTTGCGTTTTGTATAAAAGTCCAATATGCTACAATATCTGGTATTGTAATACAGCTGATTTGTTTGTTCTTTGTTTGGCTAATAATAAAATCTATATTCCGTCTGGTAGTGAAGTCGCATTTGCATGCAGTGTCAATGGTAGTAGCACTCGATTGAATTTTGAAGAAGGGAAATCGTATGATTTGGATATGGGAACACGTGTTCAATCTGCACTAGATATTCAAATGATTATTCAATGAGATCGTCAAATGTTACAAGTAGAAATTTGATCAAATTGATTTATTCAATAGCTTCTCTTTATATCAATATTTCAAATTTGTAGCTCTACAAACTTTCTTTCGACATTTATTTTGGTTCATATTAAAATCGAATAAATTTCACATCGATTGATTAGTTGATCTTTCTTTTTTGTAGGTCTGTCAGATCTGATAGAATTTTGTTAAGAACTATGAGTGTTTGTCTTTAAAAGGAATATTTTGCGTTTTCATTAACTTCAGGAGTTTAACAAATACTCAACTTTACAATTAGAAATGTAAAAAAAAATGAGGAAATGACGAAGATTTTGCAAAACTAGCTTTAAGCACTTTCAAAGATATTACAAAAGTGTTGACATTTTAATATAGATTTCAAACTTTTTCCAAAAAATATTTGCAAGAAAAAGTATTGTATAGAATTTGAAAATAACGGAAATATTTTTACGATTGCAAGTCAAGGGTATGAGTGTGAGGTGTGAGTGTGAGTGTTGATGAAAGCAGATTATCCACATCCGAATAAATTTATTGTAACTCAATATTCTCGAACAGATGAGATCTAAATATGAAACTTCAGTCTGATCTCT